CTGCAAGGGAGCTGCAAGGGAGCTGCAAGGGAGCTGCAAGGGAGCTGGAAGACCGAAATGGGAATTTCACTTCACATTTGTCACAGCCCTTAAATTACCTAAATACTATTGCATTTATCAGAAACATGAACTTGGAACTCAGGAACCGGCAGATGAAGTGAACTTAAATACTCTCCTGTCTCCCCAACTATGAGCAGCCCACAGGGCCCCCAGTTCTCCTGGCCCCACCCATACTTACAAGACCTCTGGGCAGGGGAGATAATAGGGGACATAGGAGACAGGCAGCCAGTTCTCAACGTACACCCTGTGAAGAAAAAAAAAAATCTGTTGATCCACTCTGCTCCAGAGGCTGAAAACACACCTCACGCACATCACTGGGAGTGAAGGTCTCCCACAGTGCATTAGGAGACCAGGTCCCCCGTCATTCTGTAGGTCTGGCTGACCTCGGAGGACAAAGCCTACTGGTATTCCCGGCATGTGTCACAGGGCCTGGCATGCAGTCATTCATGCACCCATGCAGTCATTCATTCCCAGGGAGTGTATATTCTTGATGCCAGGCCCCCCACACAAACAGCAGGGTGAGGGGCAGCCCCAGGAGCTTCATGGAAGGACAGAAACAAAGAGTGAATTTGGGAACGTGAATAGGGATTCCCCGTCAACATTGGTTGAAGGATGGTCCAGGCAGAGAAAAGAGCTAGTCAAGGGCTGGGCGCGGTGGCTCACGCCTGTAATCCCAATACTTTGGGAGGCTGAGGCGGGTGGATCACAAGGTCAGGAGATCGAGACCATCCTGACTAACACGGTGAAACCCCGTCTCTACTAAAAGTACAAAAAAAGTTAGCTGGGCGTGGTGGCGGGTGCCTGTAGTCCCAGCTACTCAGGAGGCTGAGGCAGGAGAATGGAGTGAACCTGGGAGATGGAGCTTGTGGTGAGCCGAGATCATGCCACTGCACTCCAGCCTCGGCCACAGATCAAGACTCTGTCTCAAAAAAATAAAATAAAATAAAAATAAAAAAGCACGTCAAAGGCCAGGAGACCAGTACAAGACAGAATTCAGAAGCCAGGGACACTAGTTGGGTCTTGCTGGAGCTGGGATTGGAGGACAGGTGAGTCAGGAGGGGTTGGTGGGATCTGGAATCCTAGGAGGAGGTCAAGGTTTTGGGGTTGACCTTCAGAGGCAGTGGGAGTCCTGGGTGGGAATAGAGACAGGAAGAGTTCCGTGGGGGCAGACTCACCACAGGACACTGAGGGTTGTGCCCGCCAACAGGCAGAACCCCAGACCCAGGGCCAGTCTCCGACGATGCATTGCTGGGGGCTGCACCAGAGCCTGGGCACCTGCAGAGACCTTACCGACCTGGGCAGATGAGGCTGTCTCCTTGCGGGGATGTCAAGCTCTGGGCCTGGTCTCTGAGGTCCCGGGAACACCTGCAAAGGAACGCTTTTTTTTGAGATAGAGTTTCACTCTTGTCACCAGGGCTGGAGTGCAGTGGCGCAATCTCAGTCCACTGCAACCTCTTCTCTTGGGTTCAAGCGATTCTCTTGTCTCAGCCTCCGGAGTAGCTAGATTCCAGGCATAAGCCACCACGCCCAGCTAATTTTTGTATTTTTAGTAGAGACGAGGTTTCTCCATGTTGGTCAGGCTGCCCGAGCTCAGGTGATCCTCCCGCCTCGGCCTCCCAAAGTGCTGGGATTACAGGTGTGAGCCACCTCGCCGGGCCAGGAATGCTCTTTATCGGGAGACGGTGACCCCAGCCCTGCAGCCCTGCCCTCCCCTCGGTCACCCACTGGGGTCATGTGGACTCTGGGTCCCTCTAGATCCCGGGTTCAGCTCTGGCAGCTCTGGGAGGTGCACGATGGCCGTGGCTGGGTGCTCAGCTGTTACTTCCAGCAGCCCTTTGGGAGAGGGGCTGGGACTAACTTCGCGGAGGCGGCGGACCCCTGCCTTGGCTCCCGCGTCTCCCTCACTAGGTCCATTCTCGGAGGTGAGCTGAGGCCGCCGGGAGGGGCGCATGGGCCAGTCCACCGTCCGCTGGAAATCAAGCCCCGAGGCACAGCGAGGACTCACGCAGTCCCAGCGCAGGATGAGCGGGGAGGGGTGCCCAGGATTCCCCGAGTGGAGCGAGGTGGTCGCTGTCCACCTCTCCGGGAGGCAGGCCCCGGGTTCTCCACGGAACTATGTGAACGCGCCTCAACCCACTGGCTTGGTGACCTTGGGTCAGTCATCCCCTGCTCCCGGCCTCCGTTGATGGGGGCCGGCATGCGGCGCCCGGGGGAAGACGCACGGGAAAGGCTGTGAAACGCTGGGCGCAGCCTGGGCCACAGTGAGCGGAGGGCCGGGGTTCTGGGGATTAGGCCGCTGCCACTCGGGAGTGTCCGGCAAGCCCTCTCCCTCTCTCTTCCTCTGGGGCCTCAGTTTCCCCACCTGGGCCTCCAAGCCCCGTCTCGCCCCCGCCTCCCGCGAACGCAGAGCCCAGCCCCGAGCGCCGCCGGCCCTAGTCCGGGTCCAGACTGCGACCCCAGACCCGACCCCAGAGTCCCAGGTCCCAGATGCGCACCTCCTGGGCTCAGGGCCCTCCTCCTTGGCCCCCTGCGCGGCAGGGACTTGGTGGGGTGCCGAGGGAGCGTGACTCTCCCTACCGGGTGCAGACTTACTCCTTGCTGCCGGACCGGCGTTAGGACGGATGGAGGGGCGCCACCCCGGCGCGGAAAACGGACTCAGCTAGCCTGGGCCCCCGCGATACCCGGGCAATCGGCGGCGCAGGCAGAGCCTGGAGCAGGGCAGGCAGCGAGGCCGCGGGCGAGGCTGTAGAAGCCAGGCAGGAAAGAGGGAGCCGCAGCCCCGCCCACCTACAGCAGGCCCCGCCCCTGCGGTCCGAGAGCCCTTTCCCTGCGGCCCAGGAGCTGGATCCCGGGGCACCGAGCGCCTGAGCTGACCCCTGGGCCTCTCGGCCTAGGATGCAGCAGGCGCAGCTCAGGGGGCCAAGAAGCGCAGGTCCGGGGGCAGGGTAGAGTGCGGGTGGAGAAGTGAAGCCATTTGTGGGGAAAACCTTACCTAGTTTATAAGAGCTTTGAAGCAGTCACGGAAAGGGAGAACCAGCTGGACGCCACTTGCTGTCCGGTTTAGGGTCTGTCCTCCTTTGCTCAGGGCCTCTGAGCCAGGCGCCCCTGCCCAGCGAGGGAACGCAAGCGAGTGGCTCCCAGAATTACCGGGAACCTCCGTGTCCTCTTCTGTGAAATGGTCGCACTTTCTTTCCACGGCCTGTCGGGGTTGCATTATCCCTTCCACGAAGGGCTGCTCTTGTCCACCCCAGGGACTCTGGGACCCCAGGAGAGACCCTCTTGCAGCTCACCAGAGGTCGGCCGGCGCATAGGGTAGAAGGTTTTTGTAGCAGAAGCCTCTCTTAGGCAGGGTGTAGGAGAGGAGGGGCAGGAAGGCAACATGAAGGGACCCTAAGGGAAAATAAAGGAGACAGTGACCAAAGGGGTGGGGGGTGGGACCCAGCCAGAGAGGGGCTCAGAGAGGTTACGGGTGTGCTCCAGGTCGCAGTGTAGCTGGAAGTTGGAAACCCAGACCTGCCTGGTGCCTGGGCACGGCCTCCCAGTCCCCTCAGAGATGTGATGATTACCTGTGTCCTTGGGGTTTCTCTAGAGGACCGCGGGTTCCTGTAAGGCAGGGCCTGTTATCTCAGTCTGCAGGAGCCTGGCACTGGCCCTGGGCGCTGGTGAATGCTGTTTAGAAGGTCATGCTTCCACCTTTTAGCTGCAAACACGAGCTCCCTGGGACCTGGTCTGGGATCTGCTGATTCATTTTCATTACTCAGTTTATGTTTGCAGAGTTCCCCGGTCTGCCCTCCAGACACTGATGCCTCTCTGGGAACTGTTTTCTAATACAGCTTTAAGGTGACCAAGACAGGGCCGACCTAGCCCTATGGCTCTGCCTGCTGGCCGCAGCCCTTCCTTGGCCCAACTAGCAGTGTCTCCATCCCTCCTTGCTGCACGCCCAGAGGAGAAAGAATTTGGCCTTAAGACAGCACTGGCCTGGAAGGGGCTGGATGCAAAGGTAAAGAAAGACAAGAGAGACATCCATGACTTAAAAATATAATAATCAAAGGCAAGGGAGGTACAAGGAAGATGGGAGAAAACACTGTAGGTACATGTGGACATCTTTCTCATCCGGGAGTGAAGTGGGCTGAAATAGGAATGTAGGCAGAGGCTTGCAGTGTTCAAGGGAACCAGAAAGAACAAATCCAAGTCAGGCAGAGTGGGAGAAGAATAGTGGGGAGAAGAGTCACTGCTAGCCTTCCAGTTGTCTCTCTCTGTCTCTGTTTTTCTGTCTGTCTCTATATATGACTTAAAGAAAACTCTTATTAAATATTACTTAAGGCTGAGCATGGTGGCTCAAGCCTGTAATCCCAGTATTTGGGAGGCCAGGGTGGGAGGATCATGTGAGCCCAGGAGTTCAAGAGCAGCCTGGGCAACATAGCACAAGCTATGAGGCTGGAACCAGGGTGCCAGAGTGAGACTATGTCTCAAAAATAAGTAAATAAATAACATTTTTGTTTTATTTAAGTATCTTTTTCTTTTAATGGAGTCTCGCTCTGTCACCCAAGCTGGAGTGCAGTGGCATGATCTTTTGAGATGGGGTCTTGCTCTGTCGCCCAGGGTGGAGTGCAATGGTGCAGTCTCGGCTCACTGCAACCTCTGCCTCCCAGTTCAAGCAATTCTCCTGCCTCAGCCTCCTGAGTAGTTAGGATTACAACACCTGGCTGATTTTTATATTTTTTTTAGTAGAGGGTTTCACCACGTTGGCTAGGCTGGTCTCGAACTCCTGACCTCAGGTGATCCACCCACCTTGGTTTCCCAAAGTGCTGGGATTACAGGTGTGAGCCACCGTGCCTGGCCTTACTTAACTATCTTTTGAGGAGGTGGTGGGCCACTGAAGCTGGGACCCAGATCGGTGCTTCCACTGCTGGCTGTGGGTGAGATGCTGTCCCTGCTTTTGGGCTGTGAGCTCTCAGGACAAGAACGGTGTCTGGGGTTCACTGTCTTATTTCAGGTGTCTGCACACAACAGGGGTGCTGGATGCATGCATGAGTGAAGGAATGAATGAACCCAAGACTTCTTTGTGTCTCAGATTCCTCGTCTGTCAAATAAGAGTACCTGCTTCAAGGGGCTGTTGGGAGGATGACACTTGTTCATTCATCTATTTATTCAATAAATGTGAAGTGCCTCCTGTACCTGAGGCTCTGTTCTAGAGGCTAGAAACACACGGTGAACAAATACATTCCCTGATGGTGTGGAGCACCCACCCCCAACCCCCAGCAGGGTTTAAATGAGGGAAGGTGGGTCTCAGGCACGTGGTCCGAGCTCAGCGAGGGCAGCTGCTGGGTTCGGGAGGTCACGCGCAAGTTCCTGTGCAGTAGCTCAAGACCAGCCTGGCTGGGGTCTTCGGTGGAGGGGATGTAGGATCCTTGGTCTGAACTCCCAGGCTATCCAGTGTCCCTACGTAACCATTCCCCTCACTGGGCCTCAGCTTTTCATCTGGAAAATGGGCTTGTGAGGATATCCATCTCCCAGTTTCTCCATAAATTGGTCTTGATCTCCGGAAGCAGACAAAGAAGTGACTGACTTCCCACTGGTAATCCTGGAGGGCTGAGGTGTGCGTTCATGAAGGGAACAGGGAAACGTCCTCTGCTGGGGGACTGGCTAAGTTCCCCCTTCTGGTTAGTGGCAGAGCTGGGCTGAGATCCCTTGGCTCCAAAGCCAGTCCTTGGGCTCCCCACCATGCACAGACCCTCTGTAATTGATCCCCAGCTGTGACCTACCTCTGGGATGCCACAGAATGCTCCAGAGTATTTCCCAGAAAGAAGGGAGTTCATGGTCAAGTCTGGGAACTCGGGCGAGCAGGAGTGGCAGAACCCCCCAGACCTTTCATCTCTAAGAGGAGGTGGGGAGAGTCTGCAGAGCTTCCCTAGAGGTGGAGCTGGGGTGGAGGGACTGGGCGGGGTGGAGGCAGGCCCCGTGGCCCCCTGTGTGGGCCTCACTCTCCTCACCTTAGGAGAAGCTCCTGTCTTGAACAAGAGTCAATGTTCTCCCGTGTGGCCAGCAGGCATCTCTGCAAAGCTCAATTTGGACCCAGACATTGATTTTGGCTCCCCTTGGCCTTGGAACCTGGGGATGGGCAGCAGCAGGAGGGTCCTGAGGACAGATCCCAAGTCTCAGTCCATCACCCAAAGTTCTGCCCCTGCTTTGCTGGGTGACCTTGGACAAAGTCTCAGTTTTTTCCACTATGCATCGCGGTGACAGCTTCCTTTAGTGCTCGTCAAGCTGTGCCTCTCAGAGGCCTAGGAATGGGGTGCCGGGGAGGAGGTTCCTGGAGTGTGTCTGGGTTAGGGGTAGGGAGTACAGGCCTCATCCCAGCTCCACCCTGAGCAGCTCTGTCCTGTGTTGGATACATTGGGGTTCTACATCTGTATTATCAGAACAATGTATCACTGCCTCAAAAAAGTGGGGTTTAAAGGCTATAGGGCTGGGTGGACTCTGGGCCAGCCCTGCCCTTCTGGGGCTCCCTGCACTCTGTTCCTCGTTGACCTGGTGGTTCAGGAGGACAGGTGCATTCACATCCACACAGCTGGCCCACCCAGAACCCAGCAGCATCCAGGAGCCAGCCTCTGATCCAAGCCCCTCATCCTGCACTAGCTAAGGCCTGGCCTGGATGCAAGCAGAACCCACAGCACCCTGTCCCGGGGAGCAAATCCAAGCATTAACTGAAACCCGCAAGCTAGGCCCGGAGCAGGGATCTCATCCAAGCACTAACTGAAACCCGCAAGCTAGGCCCGGAGCAGGGACCTCATCCAAGCACTAGGTGAAACCCACAAGCTAGGCCCGGAGGAGGGATCTCATCCAAGCACTAACTGAAACCCGCAAGCTAGGCCCGGAGTGAAACCCACAAGCCAGGCCCGGGAGGAGGGATCTCATCCAAGCACTAACTGAAACCCGCAAGCTAGGCCCGGAGCAGGGATCTCATCCAAGCACTAACTGAAACCCGCAAGCTAGGCCCGGAGGAGGGATCTTAGGGCTGGTTCCTGGGCCCCCAGTACCTGGGAGAGGAGCTTCTTGGCTGTGTTGGAAGCCACACCCAGACCTTGACCCCAGGAATGCCCAGAGAACACATGTTCAGCACGCTCCCCTGAGAGCAGAAGGGGACACACTTCAGAAATGGTGGAAAGATAAAAATCCAGCCTCCGCCTGCATCAGGACAATGAAATAAGACAGTGAGTTAGATGGCATGTCTCACCTACCAAGTGTGCTGCCTATTCCCCCTAAAGCCCCTTGAGTGGAAAACACACACAAACTCTCTCTCTCTCGCTCTCTGTCTCTCTCTCAAAGGGCTTTTTCTCTTCTGTCATTCAACGTCAACACAGGAGACTTCTATGGCCCAACGTGTTGGGGTTTTCCCACACACACAGGCGACAGACACCAGTTGGATGTCCTCTAATTCAACCTGCTTCTGACACTGTCTACCTGGAGGTAGCGTCAGATCCCCCAGGTTGAGATCTCAGTCCCACAAGGCTGCCCCCTCCCCCGCTTCCCATAGACACCGTCGCAAATCTGGGCTTCCAAGGACAATTGCTTGAACCCGGGAGGCAGAGGTTGCAGTGAGCTGAGATCACGCCACTGCGCTCCAGCCTGGATGATAGAATGAGACTCCATCTCCAAACAAACAAATAAGCAAACACACAAATCTGGGCTTCCAGGGCTTCTGACCCACCAGCTGCAAACTGGGGTTCCCACAGCCTCCTCTTTGTGTTCAATTAATTTGCTAGAGCAGCCCACAGAACTCAGGGACACATGTTTACTGGTTTATTATAAAAGATATTGAAAAGGATACAGATGAAAGGATGTGTAGGGCGAGGTATAGGGGAAGGGGTGTGAAGCTTCCCGCCCTCCCCGGGCACCCACCCTCCGAGAGCCTCTACGTGTTCAGCCCTCTGGAAGCTCCCTAAACCCTGTCCTCTTGGGCCTTTTATGGAGCCTTCATTGGATAGTCGGATAGGCGTGACTGAAGCATGGACAACCGTGTAGAAATGTGGTTGGACAAAAAGGGCACGGTCTAGCATTAGCGCATGACCTAGCATTAGCACATGGTTTGCATTGGCGCACGATCTAGCATTAGCACATGGTCTAGCACTGGCGCACGGTCTAGCATTGGTGGAGTGGGAAACTCACAAGGCCTGTCTGTGCAGATTCTTCTTGGCTTCTCCCTGCAGCATTCCTTCCTCCAGGGAATGGAGCGGGACTCCTAAGATGCGGATCTTGTGACCTACAATTACACAAGGTGTGTCAGATAATTTATGGCCAGACAGAAAGGCAGGGGAAGATTCTTGCCCTGGGGAGAAAATGGAGCAGGTGAAAGGAGGGCAGGAGAAGGTCAGAGAGAGAGAGAGAGAGAGACTGTTTTCTGAGGCCTGCTCCTGAGGCCTAAAGCACCCCAACATTATAACAAGGACTATGGGAGTTACGAGCCAGGAATCATGGCTGGAAATGTGTGTGTGTGTGTGTGTGTGTGTGTGTATCTATATATTTATTTATATATATGGCATGATATCACACCCCTGAAATTCGAAACCCTTGGAGTGGCTGAGGGGGATGGACACTTTCCCCTGGCAGTGGGAGGGGGGGGTCTGGACTCTCCTCCTGGAGGGTGAGTTGGCACTAAGACCCTAGCACACCCCGCCTTGGATTCAGTTTGTCTACTTCTAGAAAACAGGAAAGCTTTAGAGATATGAACAAAGGGTTCAAGTTCGAGGAGAGTCGTCTCTGCCCATCTCAGAGCCCTGAGTGGCACACTCACCCCCTAGCCTTGAGCAGGGGGATTTGGTGTCCCTGGAGGAGAAAACACGCCCTGCAACCATTAAAGGTGCCACTGTTGGCGGGGATGCAGTGTGATCCCAGCTACGTGGGAAGCTGAGGCTGGAGAATTGCTTGAACCTGGGAGGCGGAGGTTCCAGTGAGCTAAGATCGCGCCATTGCACTCCAGCCTGGGCAACAAAAGTGAAATTCGATCTCAAAAATAAATAAATAAATAAAATTCCAGCCTACCCCATTAACTCAGCTCATGGTCCACTGAGGGGTGTGCTGACCTCTGTCTGACACCAGCATTTTTTTTTTCTTTGAGACAGGTTCTTGCTCTGTCGCCCAGGCTAGAGAGCAGTGGCATGATCATGGCTCACTGGAGCCTCAACTTCTTGGGCTCAAGTCATCCTCC